ACGGATCCTGCTCATCTTCGAACTCGACCGAGACATTGTTAAGACTGAACTGTGTAGAAAATTTCATCGCGATTGGACTCTCCTTTCAAAAGTTATCGTGTTAACGGCCGGCCGGCCGGACGGACGGACGGACACACTGACCGATTCTAGAGTGTACTCACTTTTTGAGTACACAAAAAGGATGGTCCAGCGACAGTCAATTACACTTTTCTCAACTCATGAACGAAACTTGAAAATTCCCTTACGACAAAAATTGTACTTTGGTCAAGACCTATAAAAGAATCTAGTATTTGTAATAGGTCGAAAAGCGCGAGAGAAGTTCCATTTCCATTTTTTCGGACTAGAAATCATGTTTCAAGAAAAACTCGAAAGAAATTTTAGAAATCAATTTTTTCATTTAAATTCAAAAAGAAACAATCATAATAAAGTGGTACACTTTTCATATGTTACCTTGAGTTATTTGAAAGCACGTAAAATATTAAGTAAAACTAACGCTATTTGAAATGTTAATCAATATGAAAATGTTTTGTTCAGCGACAATTCTAGTAGCGATGCAATTTTCTCAAAATTAAAAAATTATAAAAACCATGAAATTTTCTGGAAAAAATGTGGTAATGAAGTCAAAATCTGATCTGATAAGTCTTTGAAAATTGAGTCATTTTCCGAAAATGTATATATAATCTGAAATAGGAAGCTTCACGTTCTGTCTTCCTATAGTAAAAACTCAACTTCCTTACTTCCCGAAAGAATTCGGTTTTCTGCATGGATGAATCCCTTTAATTCATGATAGAAACTTTTACATTTTCGTGATTTGAAGAAAACGAAATACGATAAACCTTTAACAAAAGCTAATCGTGATCTAAATATAGAAACAGATTATCTATGAAATATCCTTATAATGACTCATGATGTTTGGTACAGCTACTACCTAAAGTGAGCAGCTATAAAACTTTATTAACCATTGCGAAATATCCCAGATAGGGAGTGGGTGTGGGTGTGCGTATAGGTGTTTATTTCTTTTCTTTCCACAGCCACAGCCACACCCACACCCCATACCCCACACCCACATCCACCCTCTGACACACACAACATACATCAATGTCAAAAAAAAATCTCGAAGAGAAAGGTTAATTATTTGATCCTTCTCAGGCTAAAATCACATTAATGAAGATTCAAAAACGACTGTTCTGTTCTACTGTTCGCAAAACAAACTCTATATAGCTAAACTTAATCTTTTCGAGACTTTTTTTGACATATTTCACAAAACAGATATATACAAAAAAAAGTTCATTTTAGCATTCTTAAGGATTCGGATCAACCATTGGATTTGGTCGATAAAGAACACCTGAACTATTATTATCCGAATCATAACCACCAACACCTGTTTCATTTGTTGGTGAACTTCGCATACCAGTATATGTATAACCTGATGTTGTAGATTTTGGTTTAGTTTTAATTACATCTTTATTATTATTATTAGAACGCATTGATCCTGTTGAATGTGTACGTATCATACGTTTTCTATCATCAGCTTCATCACGTAATTGAGTAAATTCTTTTCGATTACGTCGAAATACAAATAACATATAAACACCCATAAATACTCCAAATAAACTCATAAAGATATTTTCCCAAAACCTTCGTCGATACCAATATTTCATTAATGGACCACAACCACGTGTATTAAGCCTTGTACGCTGTCTGAGGGTCCAACCGGACCCACAACGCTGATTTTTGTCTTTAGCTACGTTAATACTTATCATTTACGGATCGATCTATTCTCTAATCGTTATTCTCCTAACAATGCACGAAGACCACATGAAATGTCTTTGATACCTCTTACAGGGGAAAAATTAAGGGGTGGGTCCACACGGATCCCGTAACATCTTTAGTGTTATTTATGTGAGTTTTTTTCTTGTTCAATCTGTCTTCTGTTATCTCGAAGGCTTATCTCTCAAGAGATTTGTTAACTTATCACTACCAATAGTGATTCGTCTATTATTTGATATTTGTCTGCTAGATCTGTTACAATTACATCGAACTACTTTTGTAATCATTTTGTATCACGGCAATTATCTTCGATTTTCTTTCCGTACAAAGAAACTATGCCTAAAACTTCTAAGATTCTTCGAGTATTAAAAAGCCCAGCATTTTTAGTATTTTTTCAGATAAAAAGAATGACTAATAATCCAAATTTACAAAGAAGTCTTGAATTTTCTACGTCAAATAGTACGAATGAATTTGATAGCATTTCTGAGAATGATGAATTGAATTCTGATAAAGATTATCATATTTTTGAAACCGAATCCAATGACATATCCGCTGATGGATTTATTGCGCGAAACGAAGATTTATCTGATTCTTATGTCTATGACGAGTCAATGATGATAATGATGTATTCCAACATGCTCAACCTGAATTTTTTGGAAAAAATGGTATTTTATGGTCGAGCTAAAAGATTCAAGTTTCTGCAAGCGTAAATATCCGTGAAAGATTACCATGAGAATCTTGACTCATTTATGGCTAGCGTAAAAAAGATGACTTATAAGGTTACTCTAGCGTAATTGTATGTGGGTCCGACTGGATCCACATGACGTCCTTCGTGCGAAAAAAATGAGGGCAGAGCTCAAGGGTTAACTTTATTTTGATCAGGTTCGATTAACATATTTTTTCCAAACCTAAGCTTCTTAGATACTAAAATAAAAATGATTATAATAATTAATTGAGGAAGACCAAAAAAAAATTCCAAACTTTATGACACCATGATTCAGGTAAATCTGTTTTATATGAAGCTGCATAATCAAGATAAGAATTCCAACCACAACAATTAAAATCTCTTTGACGTCTAAAAATAATTATTTACAAAAATTAAATTCTTTTTTTTTTTATTCTTACTGATTAACAAAAGCAGTTAAAATAAAAACACGTGGTGGTACAAGACCTTGTGTTACCAAACGAAATGATTCTTCGCGATATTTTAATTCTTTAAATGCATTGCCTTTAAAACGAAGTCTTTCAAGTAAAAATGTTTCTTTTGTTAAAAATCCAGCATTCATATTTATCATTGTTACAGCAAACCAAGCTAAACCACCAAGAATTGTTATGATACCTAAGGTAAATAATGCATAGGGAACATATTCCCTAAGAAATATATTTCGATGACGATAATCATGTATTTGTAATGCAATAACTAAATTAAAAAATTCTTATTTTTGTTCTAATAAAATATTTTTTTTATCAATACTTGTAAGCAAAACAAAACCATAGATATAAATCAATGAAAGATAAACACGAGTAATTGTTAAACGATCCCAATAATAAATAAAAAAATTAAATTCAACCTAAGATAAATAACATAAGAATAAAATTAATTCACAATTTTATTATACCCAAGTCATGGTAAAATCAATCCAAATAGTCCATTCTTCAAAAAAAACCCAATAGATTGACATTAAAACGGTAATAAAAATAGCAAAAGCTAATAAAAAACCATTGATATCCATAAGAAAACTATGTTTGCTCTTTAAACTAAAAGGTTATATAATTATTTGATAAAGATTAAATTCTAGTTCATACTCATTGACGTTGTCCCTAAGTAGCGGCCATTTTTGAAACTAAGTTGAATTTTAAGAAGAAATATTACAAGGTTATACCTTTCGAATTTGACAGACAATTGAAGAAAAAGAAAATGTTACCTGTTCTCTGACTGAAAAAATTATAAGGTGACTAATAGTTTTTTACGATTATTTATTTTTAAAATATTTCACTTTAAGCTAAATATATTTTCTAAATTTTATTATTAAAAGAATATATTTAAACAATTTAATACAAAAAATTTTATTTTTTTTATAAATATTACGAAACAATTAAACCCTTGATTTATCGGCATGCTTGTAGCGACCTGTATAATTGAAGTTTCCAATGGTTAAGTTATTTTTCTTATATTTAAAAATAGAAAATAGATTTTTCATGTTTAATTAAATAAGAAATAAATTAGTTGAGCTGAAAATTTGATCAAATTAACAGACACTAGAAGACTGTTATACCATTAGATACAAACTATTCTTCAAACAATGGTCCGTTCATTACTTCCACAAATTGAAAATTGAAATGTTCTTATAAACAGTGACAAAATTGAAGTTTATTTCGAAAAACATTTAATGCCAATAGATCGCTCAAAAAATCAATTCATCGATATTGGTAGACATCAACAAATAGCCTATTAGTTCTTTTCTAATTAGATTAGAATATCGTCAAGATCAAGACCTAGTATAATATCTGATCAATTGAAAAGAATTGAAGAAGAAAATATTTTTATCTGAATATATTTTTATTTAAAACTTTATTTTTTGCTTTAGATAACAATGCTTTAATTTTTTTTGTGGATTTGAATTATTTTCAGAAATATTTTATGTAAAAAAGGTTTTAATTTTTTTCTTTATCAGTTTAAAGTATCTAAGATGGATAGATGAAAAAATAGTTTTGTTTTATATTGTGTAGGTTATTTTCATGTAATTTGACCTAAGAAGAAGTATAGGAAAGAGTGTGAATGAAGTCTTTTTTCTTTTTTTTTCGTTGATACATTATTATTTTTGTGACCGTTTATGTTTGTCCCCCTCATTCTTTTCTTCTATTTTTGATTCATCTATTCTTCCATCGTTTTATCTTGACTATTCTATTCTATTTCTGTCTGATTTCTTCTGTATTTTCTCCATATTTATCTCTATCGGTTGTTTGATTCTTGCAACCTATCCGTCGTATAAATCAAATAAGTGCCTATATATATGTTGTGGCCGAGGTTAGCATTCAGCCCAATTCTAAATTCGTCCAGACGAAGTTAGAATTCTAATTTCGACTACACCAAATTGGAATAATTTTTTAATGAATAGAAAAAAAGTAAAACCTTGATAACCATTGAGAACCAATTTAAACTTGTCTGTCTTTTGATTGTTTCTTTGTTATTTTGTAAT